CACATAATGCATAATGTTCAACCACACATAAACTCAATAAAACGTGTACGTGCGACTCGACACAACGACACGACTCATGCATGTGGTACCAATCATCTATTATCCTTCGGACTTGCCGATGTCTATCCCTCAGACGGATAATCACAAAAGCCCATTTCCTAAGCTTTCAAACCCCCACTCTGAGTTTGGAACGAGCCACTAGCCTCCACGAGACTAACAGACATCGCCTCTTGACACGATTTATGATGCGGTGTGCAATTCAATTAACAACAATATGCAAATCAAGACATCCCTCAATCCCAATTACAAGCATACATCACCATAATTCCACCCTATGAATTAATCTCACAACATTGCACAACAAACATCATTTATTTCATTTTCAACAATTATCACACAACACCAAAATATTCATAAATCAAACACATCATTTCCGGAATCGGCAATCAACCAAATATCTCGAATATTCAACACCTCTACAATTTAATTCCTCTCCGGTCGTACTCAAAATATTAAGTTTTACCAATTGATCGTAACCGGTTATATTAATTAATCACACTATTAATTATAATATATATTAATGTATTAATTAAATTATTAATATAACATAATATTTATAAATTGAGCAATGTTATTTCCAGAATCGACATTTCACAATACATTTCAAATCTATCACATATCTACGATTTAATTAATCTCCGGTCGAAACCAAAATATCAAGTTTCATCGATAAACCGTAACCGATTATATATATATATATATATATATATATATATATATATATATATATATATATATATATATATATATATATATATATATATATATATATATATATATATATATATATATATATATATATATATATATATATATATATATATATATATATATATATATATATATATATATATATATATATATATATATATATATATATATATATATATATATATATATATATATATTATAAACTAATAATTATATACATATATATATATATATTAACAAAGTTTAGAGTAACACAGAGGAAGAGAAACCCTGTGCCACGTGCCCCCCCCCCCCCCCCCCCTCTTTTTTCTTTTTCTCCATTGCTAACAGTATTTCATTTTCTAACAGTCTACTATTTTTTTTTCTTCTAACAGTCTACAATAATCTACTTTCTTAAACTGAAAAATCAGAATCAAATGCAATAAAAATACATTAGATGTTTAGAGGAAGTCTAACCCTTACCGATTAGTTCCCGGAACGAGTTTTTTCGGTTGATTTTCCAGAAATTTCTTCCTCTCCTCTTCATCTCTAGTTTTCCTGTTTTTCTTCACTTCTTCTTCTCTACTTCTCTCTTTCTTACTTTTTCACTTTCTGATATATTTTCCTTTCTATCTAACTACTTATTATATAATATAAAAAAAACTAACTTATTTTATTATATTACTTACTTATTATATTATATAAAACTAACCTACATAACATATAAACTTATATACTTTACTACTCTAAGTTAACATAACTTATATATAATAAAACTAATATTTTATTAAATTAATTTAATATAATTAATTAACATTAATTTATTAGTTTATAATATATCAATTAATACTAATATAAATTCATCCTCACAAATAAATCAAATAATACATATAATAAAATATTTACACACTAAATATAATATTATCTTACAAAAATAGTTATTTTTCGGTAAAACAAATAAACCCAATTAATCACATACCGGACCGAACTACCGACTAAATAATTATTATTTTATTCAAAATAAACATCAACCGATCATTTTTAGAAAATAATAATATAAATAATATTAATTAAAACGGGGTGTTACACTAAACGGCATGATCACTTGGACAAAGGCTCAAGCTCTTGGATCATAGCTCAATTAGTTGTGTAAACATCTGATTATGGATATATTTGCAAGTCAAGAGGCCTGCAAAGCAAGATTATGCAGCAAAGTTGTGAGATTGGATCATGTGTTCATCAAGAAAATGACTTGTAATTCAAGAATGGATGTCAACTTCTTGTCTTCAATTCTCTTAGCCCAAGCATGGTCTCTTCAAGTTCTTGGACATCTTGTAAAGTTTGAAACATTGTCTACAACCTTTATGTTGACCACTTTGGCTAAATCAAATTGGAGTTAGGTGAAAAATTGCCAAGAAGTTGGGACAAAAAATCTGCCTAACTTGCCAAAATTTTCACTGTGTTTTATGAAAAATGCCATGGCTTCATGGGCTTATATCTTCAAATCTAATAATTTTTGGACATCAACCCTCTAATACAAAGTTGTAGAGTTTATCAAGATCTACAACTTTCATGTTGAAAGTTTCCCTTGAATCATCTTGCATCTTGGTGAAAACTGTCATGAAGTAATGAATTTATCAAGTATATAAAACACTTAGAAATTTTCTAAGTCTTAGAAATCTTGACTTTTTATTGACTTTTTGACTTTCTTGATTCTTTATGATCAATTTTTATATTTTTGAATGTCTTGATGAATCTTGATCTTAGAAATTCAATGTTGATCAATGTATCAGTCGACTTTTTATCAGTTGATCCAATTTCAACTATCAATCCATTAATCTTGAGAAATAATTTGAACCATGAAGTTAGGTCAATATGTTGTGTTGGAGTCCTTGAGATTATGCTTCAAGTCATTAATCTGTTTACTAGTTCAAAAGTCACTGATCAGTCATTCTCAATCAAAACCCTAATTTTGACCATTTTACCCCTTTGATGATTTGAATTCTTTTCTTGAGGCATTGTGATTAACAATTGATCAATTGATAAATATGATTTCAAAATGTTGATGGGGACCAATAATCATGAAGTTTGACTGTAGTTTGACCACAGTTGACTTTTTTATCCAATACAGCTAATTTTCAGTCATCTGAGCAATTGACTGAACAAATTTGTAGTGCAAGACTTAAAACTTGGCATGAGCATTCTTAGAGACCTATGATGAACCATGAAAGTCATTTGAGTCATAAAAAGTCCAATTGTTCTTGAGAAAATCAAAACCCTAATTTGGAGGCTCAATACTTAGGAGGTGAGCTTGTATGATCAAACACTTAAAACTTCTTGAATATTTGAGATCTTTTGTGAAAAATATTTTAAAAATAGAGAGGGAAAATTTTGGGATACAACAACATAAAACTTACGAATGGATATACTTTTCTCATTTTTATTCAAAAGACACTAAAATCTATTGGTCAATAATTCTACCCGGGATTTCCATTTTTCCCCTCTCTCTCTCTTCATCATCATCTTCATACCCATAAGATCTCCCTCTCTTCTCGTCACTCTTTACTTACTCCCAACCCTAGCCAGCCGCAGATAGTTTCTCCAACCTAACCTATCATCAACATCTCCGATTGAGAAACCAATCTAATTTTTGTTATCCCCATCTCACAATCTTCAACCACTGCTTCTCATTCTCCGATTGTTGTAGCTCGAAATGGTAAACTTGTCCCCTTTCGTTTTCATTTTCGTTTTCCTTTACATTTTTGTTATTGTTTTCATTTTTCTATTTTGATTATAAATATGTGGTACTTAGAGTTTGACTTAGCTTCACCTTATAAAACCGGTTGATAAGGTGAGAAGCGTCACTCTATATGAACTCTTTCAATGCTCTATCTCCAACCAATGTGGGACTTTAGGATCTTCCTAACAGTGGTTTTTTTCCAACCGCCGGATAATTGAATTTTGTTTAGGGTATGGGAAAAGTGTTGATTTTGTGAGAGTTTCTGATTTGAAAAGAATGAAATCTGGAGCCCAAAGTGTTGTGATTGTTATGCTTCAAATTAGTCAAAAGATTGGCGGTTGTGGTCATGGAGCTCAAAGATCAGATTCTTAGTTTTAGAAATAACTTTCTTGCTGAAGAAAGAACATGATGGTAGCTTTGTTGTATATTATAACTGGCTATGTAGCTGTTCTCAGTTGTTGGTGTGGGTAAGTTTCCTAATTTTTAGTTGTCATCTACAATATTATCAACAGTTTAATATTATCAATAGTATAAAGAATGAAATCTGGAGCCCTCTGGATTTCTGAATCCAATTTAGGGTATGGGAAATGTTGATTTTGTGAGACTTTCTGATTTGAAAAGAATGAAATCTGGAGCACTATGGTTTATATATTTCTGACATGATAGTAAGAATATTATGGGTTTGACCGTGTGCTTTATGGGTTTGCTAATATGTTTATTTTTGTTGATGAATGTAGCTTGACAATAAGCTTTTGCAAGAGTACAAGATTACTAGGGTTTTACATTTTTTAGGATAATTTTATATTTTGATTTTGGAAATATGAAGTGTTGTTGTATTTTGTTTTTAAATCTATTGGATCCTATCTTTGTGTTTCCATTTCTTGAATTTAAAGTGTGAAATGATAAGTGTTGTTAATAATGGAGGGACGCCCACATATTCAAGATTGAAATCCTTTCTCAGCCTTGCAATGAACAAAAATCTGCAGAATCTCAAAATATTGGAAAGAGTATCTCAAAATAGTGGAAATCTGGTACATGTACATAAAGTCTTTTCCCTGTCAATTTTTGTTATGATTTTTCAAAAAATGTTATGCAAATTATTCTATTTTTATTTTCTTTTTGACTCAGTGTCAATTGTATGATATAAAGAAACAAGTAATTTTGTTGTGGCGCCACTTACTTTATTTTGACTCAATTCAGAATCATGATTAACTTGGTTCTGGTTTAGTGTTTTGGTTCAGCTTGCGTTTGCGTTTAGTTTAGAATTAGGTACTGTTGTGTTTCAACATTGGTTTGCGTTGCATTTCATTACAACATTTGGAATTGGTTCAGAATTATGTTACAATATTAATTTTACGGTTTAAACACGGTAAGCTTCTTTTTTGCGATTCTAACTTAATTACGGTTTCGTTATAGCTTATGATTCTGAGCTGGTTTTGGTTTGAATTAAATACACAGGAATTTCTCAACTCAAATTGTTATTGCTTCTTAGTGAGTGTTATGATTGACAATGAATTTGGTGAAATTACATGGCATTATGCAAGTTTACCAAATATCTCATGGTGCTTTCTGTTTTACATTGTGCAGGAATCTTAGCAACAACCACATTGGAGGTGCCATCCCGTTCACTTTACCGCTTACTCTTACGAGCTTATATGTTACCTTTATAATCTCTAATTTATGATTTTCTACTTGTATTTAGTAAAACGCCTGTTGCTAGATTCATGTGTTGAGTAAACTTTTTCTTTTCTTTCCCTCTTTTTAACATGTAGGATTCTCTCAAGAAATCGGTAAAATGAAGCATTCTCAATGCCTTATCCTTATTATCTCAATTGGCAAGCTTATGAGTGAAAAAATACTCCCGCATCTTGTGATGCCATGTCGATATTTCTCATGTCTTGGCCTATGACATACTATTTGTGAAACTCTATTGTGCTATGATGCGGGGATTTGGCCGATAACAACTTGATCGGCTAGCTGCCTTCCTCAATGGGGAGTTTACCATCTCTTACATCATTGTAAGCAAATTTTCTTGCTAATCGATTTTGTTTTCCTACTTTTTCTGTGAGGATTTGTTATTATTTATTTAATTATTTTTAATTTGTAAACGGTTGCAGAACAATCAACTCGGAGGGACCCTTTTAGTTTTGCAGAACCTTACTCTTCAAGAATTGTACAATTCTTACTATCCAAATTTCTTACAAATATGTATTTAAATATTATCAATATCCAACAACAATACATAGGAAGTAGAAAATATATATTGTGATTAAATTCGTGAGTTTATCATTATGTAGGAATATAAAGAATAATTTATTCCCACGACTTTTGGATTGTCGGTGCCAGAATATTAATATTTATTGCATTGGAGATTTGTGCTTGTACGACGTGGTGTTGTAAGAAAAAGCCAAAAGATAAAAACTCTCAGAAGCTTGATGTGGAGGCTTTTCCAAATACTTTGCATAAACCTACTCACGACGAATTTGTTATCCAAGCAACTAATCAAGATCAACAAGGTAATTTTAATTCATATGACAGGTTTTTTCTTAAAATATTTGTTCTATAGTATCTTGCCGAACTTCATTTTTTATTCCAAATAATGCAGTTGAGAAAACATCACGTTTCAATGAGGTTCCAAATAGGAGAACAAATTCGGTTCTAAAGATTCAAGATGAACAAGATTGATATGTCAACATTGTATCTTCAACTTCAGAATACAATAATGTTTCCAAACCTTCACTCCTACAGCCACCGCCATCGCCACATCCTCTACCGATAGTTCCCATTGAGAAGTTCATTGTCAATTATGCAGTAACTACCAATGTCAGTGAATGAAAAACTATGACAAGTTATGTCAAAATGTATAATGTTTCATCACTTCAACAATATACAAATGGTTTTTCACAAGAATATCTTATGGGTGAAGGCACTCTCGGATCTGTTTATAGAGCCAAGCTCTCTGATGGAAAGGTATTATCCGTCCAGTTAATAAGCTATATACGTCTTTATGATTCTCAAATCTCTATGTACAATCTTTAACCTTTTCACGACTTCACTTGGTTTCTTGGCGCTTCATATGGTTATATCTTTTGAATTGTGTTTGTAGCTATCGACATTGAAGAAACTAGACACTAGAGCTTTCAAGGACCAGACCGATGAATAGTTTCTTCAATTGGTATATAGAATCTCAAAAATCCAGCATGTCAATATTGCAAATCTTGTGGGCTATTGCGCTGAGTGTAACCAACGATTACTTATATATAAGTATTGCAATAACGGAACCCTACAAGACGCACTTCACGGTGATGACGAATATTGTATTAAATTTCCATGGATTGAACACATTAAGGTCGCACTTGGTGCTGGGGCTTTAGAATGAGTTTAGTGATCAACTCAATATCTAATTCCGTTTTATATTAACAAAGATTTAATTTTTATTTTATTCTTCCCCATGGATCAGGTATCTGCATGAGAATTTTTAGCCGCCTATTGTACATCGAAACTTTAGGTCTGTTAATGTTCTCCTGAATGAAAAGTTGGAAGTGTGTGTCTCTTTCTAACAATGTAGAATGACGGATACGGAAACAAGAATTGGTTATTGTTCATTGAATCGACAATGAAGTTCATAACAGTTTCTTATGGTCATCGCAGTTTTTAAAGTTAACATCATACTATATGTTTTGTATTGAAGCCACATACATATAATTACTTATTTCATTTGTCATTTAAGTCTCCTAGAGTGCCTTTCATATGCACATGTTGTGAAAACAAATATGCACTCATCACGAAGTAAGACCCTCATACTTAGTTAACAATTGATTCAATTTTCCATTCTGAACAGTTCTGATATTGTTGATTAACTTTATTTCGTTTCACACACAATTTCCAAGCAATCATGAAAAAGGTATGTACATGTTATCAAAGTTATTCAACAGCAATTCACCACTATGTTTAACATTACCGACATATGTTCCTCATACAATAATCTGCCAGACAGCTATTAATGCCCTTATGTTGAACATTAAACTGCCACGAAATAGTTTTGAATTAATATACTGTTGTATTGCATTAATCACGTGCATAATAAATCCGCCACACTTGGTGCCATGCATACTTCTATGTTTATGGAAGATAGTAACTAATAAATTAAGTATTGCTTTCATATTAAAATTAATTAAAACACTATAATAATATAGAAATGTTTATATTTAAAAAAGACTCTACTACGCCTTTCCAAAAGGGTGTAGAGATATTTTTAACATTAATTTTTTGAAAGTTAACTAATCTTAATAAATATTTGAAGTTCCATTCTATAGGATGAAATTCTTCTGTAGTTAATTAGTAACATAGCAATTAAAATTGTTAAACTATATAAATTTAGTTGCTCAAATTAATAAGTTTTGGAAATAAAAAATATAATATGTGATATAAAATAATCATCAATTACATTAATCTTTTCATAAAGTTTTAATTGACTAAATCACTCAAACAAAAACAAACAAACAAAAAGTTGAAAATAATTAAAGGCTCTAGGAAAAAAAACAGAATTAATTGTACATAAAATAACAGATTAATTTAACCATTTGGTTGTAATAGATAACCATAATATTATACGTTGACAGTACTATTTAATATTTATTTATACAAAAAACTTTGTATTTTATTAAATTTAATGAATTTAAAAATAGTGCAATGTTAGTGTAAAATATTTTACACAATCAGTGTATCAAAACTTCTACAAAAATATTTTTATATGATTTAAAGAAAATATCAAACTTCTACAAAAAATTAACGGTTATTATTTCACTGACATTGTAAAATTATTTTACACTGACAATGTATTTCCATTAAATATTTAGCGATGAATTAAAAAATAAATAAACTTATCCGTGCATACGCACGGGTCTTCTACTAGTACTATGATACAAAAAGATCAAAATTTTATGACGGTTAAACCACAACAATATACGACTAGTACTAGAGTTTTATTTCCAATTTATTACATATCTAATGATGATACTTTTGTCCCCTTAAAATTGTCCATGACCTACAAATCAAAATTAAAGAGTGTTATTAGCCATTCAAATAAAGTCCTTCCTTTTTCCCATAGATTCAGAAATAGTAATAAATGAAAGAAAGGGAATAATGATTTTAATAAATTATTCTGATTATCTATTGGTATATTCAAATTAACATTAATATTAAATGAGAAAATAATAAATTAAGAGTATTTATTAGTGAATACAATTGGAAGATTAAATATAAAAGTGCATTAGTAATCTAAAGTGACAAATATTTTAGGACAATTTTTTTTTCAAAATGTAACACTTATTTTGGGACTGAAGGAGTAAATACTAGTCTAGAGAACATGAACAAACAACAATTCTTGAGATAATTATGACTTGCAAGTTGTTAAAATTTTAGGATATCTAAATCTTAGATCAAGGGAGAAGCAATATTTTAAAGTAAGCATGGATGAGTATGCCTTGTTTATAGAATTATTATAGTACTCCCGTCTATCTGTATTGGTAAAAAAAAGATGAAAATAATGGAACTAAATTGTGATCCCTCTAACCCAAAATAAGTATTGTTTAATGTTTTTTCTTATACATAAGAAACACAAAATGAAACTATACTTATTTTGAGACTGGTAGGGTAAAATCCAACTGAGTATCCAAAATTCCAAGTGCATATAAAATGTTCATAAATGTGTAAAATACTGTTTTGACTACTATTTTAAAGTGCCTTTAGCCTTCTTCATCGCACATGTGTTTTGTTTTTGCCATTCATCGAAAGAAAAGTAAAGAAACAGTCATTATGTAAGCCCCCATTTATTTAGGTTTTTTCATTTTCATTCAGAAGCCCAAAAGTGTTTTTTTTATCCAAATAACCAACATTTTTAATTTATTCCCTAAAGTAACCCAATTACAAACAAAAATTTTTTTGAAACGCAGAGCTGTTGCCAGTTGAATTGGCGCTAACATTGTAAAAGTAAGAAGTGGCGCCTTCATTTGTACACTGTCGCCAATTCAATTGACAACATGTCTTGTAAAAATGCATGCCGTTGCCAATTGGATTGTCTACATCACACCAATTGGATTGTCTACATCACACGCAGTCGCCAATTCAATTGGCGACACTTCTTAGTTCTAATTTTTTTTATTTGAAAGTGGGTTAGTTTAGGAAATAGGTGGAAACCATGGTTACTTTGAGAATTTAATTGAAAATGTTGGTTATTTGGATGAAAAATTCCCTAAAAGTGGCATTAGTACAGCAAGAATATTTCTTTTGAAGAAAGTAAAACATTTGGGCTTTTGAAGAAAGATAACTTTTAGTACAGCAAGAATATTTCTTTTGAAGTAAAACTTCATGTTCTCAAAAAGCCTGAAAAGTTAGTTGTGTTCTATTCTTTGTTGTAAACCAAAAGTTAGTATCTTTTTTTAAAATGGCATTCAGTTGTCCCCACTTTTTTTTCTCAGTAAAATGAAGCAATCAAGCCAATAACGGGTAAAGCGGAACCCGATAGGAGGTTTGTCACCTGTAAATCTGTTCCACAAGCACAAGTAATGCTATTTGATGATTTAAAACCATTGAAGATAACTTGATTGATAAGTTAGCACGTTCCCTTATTTTTCTTCCATGACCATAGGGTCCGCCAATACAGAAAGATATTCGTGAAGCACCCTATAAGAAAGCATAAATCAATGGAATTTATTATCGTTTAACAGAAAACATTATTCAAAAGTAACATGCGCTGCATTAAAAGAACTCAACTGGGGTATAGTATATACACACAACTATAGAAACATAAAAAGACTTCAGCCAAAGAAACAATGCAGAAAACACGTAAGCAAAATTGCATGTTAAACCCTCGGTTTTTCGCTCAAGTTAAACCCTCGGTTTTCATCGTGAAACATATGTTGTTCAACCAATTTTTTTTATCCAACTGCTAAATGTTGGATGCTGACATAGTGGAATGCTCTGTAGGGTAACTAAACGCCTTACGTATATGGATGGTTGATGATTGATTGCTTTTAGGGTTAACCAGTTAATAACATTTTAAATTTAAACCCAAAAATCCCTAATTTGTGCTTGGGTTTTGTGATCATAGATTCATAGCTTATCTCAAGTGAAAATCTTGCACTCTTTTTCCTCTTTGTGCTAAATTTTTTTCTTGGTGAGGGAAAAATTATGGAGCTTTCAATAGCACATTTCCACCATTCTGATAGAAACTGGATCTTTACAAAATAAAATTGCAGAAATTCAGTATAGAAAAATAACACATAAACAGAATGACAGTTTGGTTCCTTCCAAGAATTTTGGATCTCTCCCTTCCCAAATGTTCGAGAGTTGGGTCTCTCCCAATAATCTCTCACTAATTCCCCGATAATAAACTCTTCCCTATCTTTCCTTATATATTCTAAACATAAACACAGAAATAACTCTGCAGCAACCACTCTTTATCATAACTCTCCATTAACCACTCTTAATAATATAATAACTGCTATTTAAAAACATAATTGCTAAGTCATATGAAAAGTCTAACACATTCTTAAGAACCCCGTAAGCCAAGCACAATAACATTCAACCTAGATTAAGGGTATATTTTGATATTTGATGAGTTAGGGTTTCCCATGTAAGGGTTATTGGGTTTCTCATGTTAGAGGTTTCATGGGTGATTTAATAATGGTTTTAGTTGGACTGCAATGTAATTTTGCGTATATCTTTGTATGCTAAGAGAGGTTGTTGAGATTAAATTATGCACATACCACGGGAGTTTGCTTGTTGGTCAAGTAAACCTGACATGTAAAGTTGAAAGAAACCAATTAGGGACTGTATATAGACTACTAGATTTCTCATATCGAACCGAACAAACTGGTAAAAAAGACTCGAATATGCCTCCTTCAATTGTATATGGTATCGTCATTCTAACTTCTAAGTGCCTAAGCAACATGTTATGGCTATTGAACAGTGGTTGTGGTATGCTGATGTAAGCCAGAGATGTATAAGGTTTTGAGATATTTAATGTCTAATTGTAGAATCTAATAAATGTCAGCAGTGTTTGATGAATAATGAAGGGCAGATTCATAGGGATGGCAGTGAGACGGAAGAAGTGAAGTGTATGATTGATGGCTTGGAAGGAAGTTCAAAGAGTGAAGTTCTTGAGACAAATGTTGAAATTAAGGGTAAACATGGAACCAGAGGACAGAACTCAGGTAGTGAGGGTTGTAATGAAGTATATAAGGATGAATCTGAAAACTCATGATTAAGAATTTAAGAATACACTACAAACCTAAGGGAAGAGAACAGTGGTTAACATTTCGCTGAATTACAATGATTTTGATGAGAGTAACATTGGGATCAAATAACAGTATTGCCACCTAAGACACCTAATCCAAAAGGAAATGGCATACCTGAACTGTTTATACTGAGGAAAATGACAGCTTGACACTTGTGATGGGACTAATGTTAGAGCTGCAGGTTCTTCAAGAGATCCGGAGCTGACTACAGTTGCTAAATTAGATAATGAAGATGGTACTTCTGATGACTTGGAATTCGACTCGACTGAGGATGAACACCAATCATGAATGAAGACTCCCAAGTTTAATATGCCAGAAGATAGTGGTCGGGACTAGGGAGTGATTTGAAGTGAAATTAACTTTAATTTCAAAGTAATTGTAAAAGGAGGAAATGAACGAGTATGCAAATAAGGAAAATCTGTATGTGGCAAAGAATTACAAGAAAAAGGATGTTACTAAATACATGAATAGCTGCTCCTTATATATCTTCAAGTTGGCAGTCTCAATGACACTATCACATGCAATAGAAACAATGCCCAAGCATACCTCCGACATGAAGACAAAAAAGGTCTAATGGCAGAATGGAAAAAACAGGGGGTTAGGCTGTTCAAAAGGCCTGTATGGCCAAAAGAAGAGCACTTGGTCTGATTCTGGGGGCAAGTAGTAAGGAGAACTTGCAGTTCAGGACCTGTGCATAAGAACAGAGAGAAAATTCCCAGAGCACAATACTAATCAAATGTGATATATGAGACACACAATATGAATCAAATGTGATGTACGAGACAGAGGCGGGAGAGTCTGGTTCAGACATGTCTATCTTCATCTCCATAGCTCTATCTGAAAATCTTTGTTATCCCTCATCAAGGACACATCTGCCTACAGCTGGTTCCTCTCCAGCACTGCAGCATCTCTTCCTTCTAACCACGTTTGCACTCAATAGAGAATTAGAGATTCAGAGGGTATATTTCACAACAAAGGAGGTAGTAGATGAAGTAGGTCGGAAAAACTGCTTCATTGGAGGGGAAGAGATTCACAAAGGATTCCAGAAGCTTCTATTGTTTGACTCTAGAGTGTGCATTGCTACAACTTGACACCTACGTTGTTTGCTTGCTGCTGGTAATTAGCAAGCTTGCAGGGAAGGGGTGCTTCATTTTGGTGATTGTAGAAGTGTGTTTCAGAAGAAACTGTTGATGTGAACATCTGACGCAATTAACTCTATCTCGCTATCTAACAAAAGTATCTCCTCTCTTGATTACATCTGCCATGACCGGGTGTAGGTAGGGAAGAAGAAAGGCTGAAAGGGATTTGGAGTTTGTAGATAGCCTGGACAATTTTGTATCTACTTTCAGAAGACAGCCATAATACATGTAAAGTATTAGTTAAAACCTTTTTGTATATTTTCAAAATTGTTACAGTTAATATGAAATATTAGTATCATTTATTTTGGTCTAATAGCCTAATGGCCAGAACTTCACACCCCTTAAAAGTGATAAGTGGGACGTCAAGGGTTCGAACTCGCGTCAGTGCAATCAGATGTCTCTGCACAGCTACCAACTAAGTTGACTTAACATGACAATATCGTTTCTTTTAATGTGGCAAAATATAATGGTGCATGATGAATCAAAACTCAATAGATCCATGGAAGAGATCATATAGAATATCTACTTACAGTATTTCCTGCATCAGCCACCAACTCTGCCATTTGCTCAGACCGTACATCTTGCCCATGTTCATCCAACATCACAACCTACAAGTGCAAGTACATGACAGACAAAACTTAGTTAACAAAGAAGAAACGGCCAATTCTGGCCAATAAGGCAGAGATCTATCAACTTGTGACTGTTATGCAATATCTTAAAAATTATCTGATGCAAGTAAGCAAGGACTTAAAGTAGACACCATAACAGTGAATTATACAGCAAAATCTTTGCCAATTGAAACTTGTAATTAAAACATTTTAAGACATATAGGTCTTCAATTCAAATATAGAACAATAGAGTGCAGTTCATATGGAAGAAAGTATTCCTGCCAAGAAAATAAACCTTACTTGAGCTCTAACGCCATGGATAAGTGCATAAAAACCTTATTTCAGCAATTGGCAACCAAACATAATATAAAATTGAGACTAACAGCTACTTGGGCTTAATTTGATTTCATTGTGTCATCGTCAGCCAGAGATACCAAGTTAAAGGAGTATATTCTTGAGTACCAACAAGGTATAGACTTTAGATTCATGCAACTATAGAAAAGTCGGGTAAGATAGAAAAACTACAAATAAAACTCGGGTAATATTATTATTAATAAGAAAGAAAAACGACAAACAATAAAGAGAAATCTCAGAGTTAAGCAGTAAAACAAATGGAAGTTTTGTTAGGAACCAAGAAGCAGTATTTGTTCTGAACACTGAAATTTTACCATCCATCTCTTCTCCAACACCAAATAGAACTCACTTACAAGCTACAAGTACATATAAGGAGCACAATTATTCATTATTGTAATTTAAATTCATGCATGTTCAAGACTATACCCAATCATCAGACCTTATAATATTCATCACTGCCGTGTCTTCATCATCAACTTGCGCCCTATGATCACTACAACAGATACAAAAAGATCCACCCTTACAATTAGACAAGTAAAAAAGCAACTCTTCATGTACATGTGTATTGCTATGCGCCAGTAACAATACATAGATATCTTCTCATGTGAAATTTTCACTACACTTTGTCACGTAAAGTTTTTATTCTTGTATCTCTTTGGACAAAATTCACAAATTTCAATAGAATCTCACTCATTTAATGTCTATGAAAAGATAAGACACCAAATTTTCATATAACAAGATCATGTGAAATTTAAACATGATAAAATCCTTTAATGTGACATGAACACAGGGGCGGCTCTACAATGGGAACTAAATGATAGGTTCAAACATGTGATACAAATTTGAAAATCATACTCCCTAGAGTTTAACGGACATACATTGAGTGTTAACCAAAATTAACCAAAATGAGAGACCACCATTTTTCAAAATCATCATACCACTAAATCCGAAATATTCTTACAAAAGTTGGGGGATATGGCCAAATAATTGATTTTTATTGAATGACATTGTACATCCTTTAAATTCTTCATCCTTGAAAACTCAGCAAAATGAAGAAAGTAAAACAAAAGTGAGAGAGTGAATTCACCGTGCATTTCTGGGATTTGGCCGAATTTGAACATCCTCAACACTGCAATAATATTTAATCTTTTCGACATACTCGTCAACCATGAGTTGCAGTCCTTGTGATCGTTTTTTTCCCACGGATAATATCCGTATAGGAAGTGCTCTCTACAAAAACCCAAACAATTAGTATTATTTTTTATAAAATTAAACACAACCACACAAACAATTAGCTATGATAAATTCTGTTGAGGGAGAGGGTTTTGCCGCCTATTGTGGTCCTCTCCAGCTCGAGGCAATTGAAGACAGAGGATATTCGGTTTCTACCGAAAAAACCATAGTAATCTAATAACTATCAAATTAGTCCCTGGCATAAACCCTAATCATTAAGCATTTAATGATAGAGCATAAGTGCTTTGAAATTGATATTGAAAACTTGCATTGAAAAAGAATGAAGTGAAATTAGTGATGATTGAGAGGATAATTACATTGTTACTTACCACTGATTGAGCGGAGAACTTGCAATTGGTAGTAGTAGCTGAAAATATCGGAGATAAATGGATGGTTAGAGTGAAGGAGTTTGAAAAATGTGATGTAGAAATGAAATAGAAGGTTCAAGTTGAAACAAACCTTGAGCGTGAGGATGGTTTGAAGCGTTCAAATTGAAGCCGACGCAGAGTTGGAATACGGTGCTCATTTGGAAGAGAAGCACTTATAACTTTTGAGGTAGTGACAATAGATTAAAGACGACGATTATAATATATACTGATTCATTTAAGGGAATTTCTTAATGTTGCTATGCATTAGACATACCACATGAAAATATAATAATGTCCTCAATTTTTTATTTATTTTTGGTTTATCACCACGATTATAGTCCGGTACGGAGGTTCATTTCTGTTATCTAGTGGTTTTAGTCTCTTCTCAATCGTAGTTACAGAAGATCGAATCACAATCCTATCTATCAAATTCAGCATCAATCACTATTGAACCGGTTGTCAAAATTACCACATTGATCTCGATCGAAACTTTTGTTTCTAAATGGAAAAAATATTCCACATAGCTCTTAAATTTGCACGCGTCTTCAGCTCAAAGTTGTTGAACTCAATCTTCCTTTCGTTGTCAACGGACGGTGAACGGTACTCAATCTTTCCAATTTTTCGATTATCGTCGTACGGTAGGAGATTATGCAGTATGTATTTCATATCTTCAAGAGCAATGTACTCATTGATCTTAAATTCAATTGAGGTTTTGCATCGTTAAGATAGACATCTGTGACATGTCAAATGATGTTCATTCTGGTGTAATGTGTTTTGGTATGAAACAATGAGACAAGTGTATCATATTTATAGTAGTTGTAAATAACTATGAACTTCATAAATTTTATCTTGTACCAGGAAATATTCTGAAAATGTATCTCTAGTATCCCCCTATTATCTTAATTCGGAGATGTAATTCTAAAACCTCTCAGAATTGAATGAAATTTTGTTCATGATAGAAACAGAACATGTAATAAATGCATAATTTTTTGACAAACTTCAAATGTATATATTAGACATCATTAACATTAGTACAGGGTTATATACAATAAATTGATAAAAAAAAAAAACTAAAATGAGCCGAAAGACTTGTCGTCGGCTAAATCTATAACTATATATGGTACCCCTTTTGATTTTTGTTTATTTGATTATCTTTCAATCTCGCTCAATTTGGTGAACTCTTGTATCATTTCAACAAAATGGTTCGGCCAAATCTCGGCTTTGGTTGTTGAATGAGTTATCCACTTTGGAGATGTAAGTGGTATAGGTATTCCGGTTTCAAATAAACTTGAACAAAATATTGCACCCAACACATATAATACAATCATTTTGATTTTGAGGTGGTGCAATGCGCAGTCGAAACAATGTTTCAGAGAAATTGTATCTTGTAAGATCAATACACACTTTGTCATACGCATTTGCTATGAGATGACATATTTCAGAGAAGTGCATTCATTTATCCCTCGGTGCAGGTCCACTAATGTAAGGAACAAGATAGTGATAAATTGCTTCAAAATTTTCTTTTTTCCTGTATAGTCGTGTGTATGATTCTTTATGGCCTCTCAACTCTATGATAAGTTCATGGCGGACAAGTGTGTTATCATATTCTTCTTTATCGAGCAAAGTAGAAACTGCTCGAAATCCGCAGTTACCATCACCCTCTACATTGACAATTCTTTTAATGTATTTGTGCATAAAAACCAACATCTCATCAATGAACAAGATTTTTGGTTAAGGCAATGAATGAGATGGTTCGATAATGCGAACTCCTTTGAAAATACTATTTTGAGATTTCGGAGTTAGTGAATCTGGAAAAAGTTTGCGAACATGTTCAAAATATGAAGGAGATCGCATCGTTGAGTTGTCCTTCGATGTAGGTTTGACCTTCTTAGGAGCTCCTTTTGTTTTTACCAGCTGAGAGGGTGACTTCAAGTATGTGTTTTTCAGATAAGCAATCTTCCTCAATTTCTCTTTGATGTGGAGTTTCATATTGTCACCAGTTTCAAAAATCTCTCTTGTATCACTTCTCATTCAGTCAAGATAGATATATTTGATTTATCGTCTTTCATGACACCATCATCGTTAAAGTTGAGTCTTTTCCAGTGAGTATAAACTTCATTAATTTGTATTAGGATATCAAGTTTCACCTTCTTAAATATAAGATAAACACATGAGAGACCATAAGTTTTCACAAGTGTTCAACCATACTTTGAGCTGTCGAAACCTACATTATTAGCTCATTTGGCTTAGTGAAAAATATAATTCGGACCTGCTCAAGATATATTGTCAACCAATTGAGAATAAAGATTGTTGTATTTGAATATGTGTTCCAACACTGTGATACTACAACCAAATGACGTTTATATCTTATTATGCTGGTTTTAGATCATTTGGCTCACAAAGTCTCAATATCCACACAAATCACCCTTAATATTTCCCAACCAAATATTCAGAGTAGCATGGACAGACTCAACTCGGTTTGGTGTTGAATTTTCTCCTTCGCCTGGTCCAAAATTGTACTTTCAACATATTTCAATAAATTTGGATATTTCTCACATGCCTTCTTGGAATGTATAACATCATCGGCATATAACTCTTTTGTAGAAGAATTTATTATAACACTCCATGCAGCCATTATTTTTTCCACTATAACGCCCGCCTTGACCATTTTTCCATCTTCGACCTCTATCTGTTTTGTCCCTACTGCGTGTTTATCCCAACTTCTCACATTCTTTGTTATGTGATAACTAGAGTCATGCATTAGAAGTAATAAATACTTTTGCAACCAAATTATTCAAAGTGATATCAAGGTCGATAATAATTACCTTTGGCATGTCTTTTTGGTCCTTCAGCATTGCCCAACACACCTTTAAAACCCAAGTAACATTCTCATGTTTTTTCGCTCTTTAGAAATGCAAACTTGACCGAATAAGTCTTCTTAGTAGAGGTAACACCGACAACTTCCAATAATGGAAGGTTGTAGGTGTTAGTCATATACGTTGAATCAATGATGAGCACAGTAGAAAATATGTTGAATAACTTTATAGAATCGAGATGAGTCCAAAATATATCTCTTAACGGTTACTCCATCCTCGCACGTTCGGTACCTAGATACACAATTGTTATCATCTAAAAATTTCAAGAGATATTGCATTTCAATTCTATCCCCCTCAACGCCTTGTTAGTTTAGTACCAAATATTGTACACTTGCTTGATATTTGTGATATTTTCGGGTCTTTTACATTTCAAAGTTGCAAGTATGTTTTTCGGTTGCACCAAATTCAATGTCATGTCCGAAACCATTCCTTCTCTTTCAGCATGAGGCGGCATGCAATTGAATGACCGACTAACTTTTCACACAAATCATGATTATGTAAACCACATATCATATTAAATTTTCATTTGTTATTTGTCAACCGGTAACCGCGCAACTTAAAGGGACACTCATATTTTCTTAAACTGGTGTCATCTCGTTTAAAATTCTGGAGAGGATGTATATATTTCCCACTTTTTTGCAAGTCAATATCACAAATGTACCTCTTATATCTGAACCATTATCAAACCTTCTGATTACAACTCCACATCTCAGTTTGGATGCCTCCGTACGAATCCATTGAAGCGTGTGATCATGAAATTCAAACTCTTGTTCATTTTTAAATTGATTGTCAACATCTACCTCCTTTAGAATAACACATTTGGCATTCAAAGATACAATAGATTTATGAAAAACATCAGGGTGCACCATATCTAATGAAAACAATAACATACGATACTCAAAAATAGCTAATATTGAAAATAGACTGGTGGAAAATAAAGACTTACAAAATCTGGAAATGCATTTTCGAAGACGTTCATACTGAATCTGGAACATTTTCGAACTAAACATAAGTTTTTTCAGCTACAAAACAAGATTAATGTGGGCAATAAGACTTGAAATACATGAATTTTTCCTTGAATTACAGCTTCTTATGCTCCTTTTGATGTGATGAAACACAAGAATAAAGTTTTGGAGTGAAAATCTTGATTGAGAATATAATGGTTTTTGGAAAGGGTTTTTAGAATCAAATGAGTATCAAGTCTGATCATGCAGGTGGCTGTTTTTGGAAATGTGACATATTTTCAAATTCTCGCTTCTGAAATTAAGAAATACATTTTCGGAAACTTCACTGGGTTGCTCAAACAAATAATACATTGAATTGATTGATCTGGAGATACATCTCCGGAACTAAATTTTGGTTAGTAATAGGGTGGCACTGCTTTTGTGCGTTATTGAGTTATGCAAATAATACTTCCGAAAATACATCTCAGAAAATAGAGGAACATTTTCAAATTTTCATAGAATTCTTTTCAACCTTATGGAGTGGGATAAGAAATTCTCTTAGTCTTTGATGACTTTATTTCATATGTTTTTTTACCATGTTTTAAAATTCCTTTTTAATTTTCATATTTCTTTGAGAAAGAAAAAAAAATCTTTTTGAATATTTAATGGGTTTTGATGGGTTGGATTTGGATTCTTCTGGCTTCCATCCACACTTGGCACCCCAATTATTGCAATAATCTTTGTGATTTTTAATGTCTTTGAAAAATTGTGTGTTTTTGGGATTTTTGAAAATTTTATGAGTTTTACCGCATTATTGAAGAACTCAGAGTTTTATCAAATTTTTTTAGGGAACCTATGAATTTTTACCGGACTTTTAAAAAATTATCGGATTTGAACTATTGAACTTTTCAAATAGACTATCGAAATTTTCAAATCCTATGAATTTTTATCGGATTTGTCAAATACACGGTCAGACTTTTCAAAAAAAAGTCAATTTTTATCATATTTTTCAAAAAATCTATGAATTTTCAATAAATCTTTCAAAAAGTCTATGATTTTTTACCGGATTTTTCAAAAAATCTATGAGTTTTTACCTGATTTTTATAAAAATCTATGAATTTTTATTGAATTTTTCAAAAAATCTATGCGTTTTTAACAGATTTAAAACAAAATCTATGAGTTTTTATCAAATTTTTTAAAATATATTATCAGAAATTTCAAAATACATTACCTAATTTTTCAAAAAATAATGAATTTTTATCGGATTTTTCAAAAAAATCTGGTAAAAATGATTTTTGATTTTTTTGCCTATCAAAAATGAAATAATGATGTTTTTAA